AGGTTTTCCTTGATTAATTGTTTTAAGGTGGAAAACAGAAAGTACACTGGGAATTTAGCATTTGCTCTCTCGGCATGTTACACAGTAGAAAACTGTTGGGACTTGGAAGTAGGGTAAGAGAAATGGTTAATGATTGTGGATGTGATGGCACATTTTCCAGTGGAGACCACTCGTTCCCACCCTGAACACCAAAGGAGACCATTCCAAGGGACCATCAAGCCCTGGCCTCACCAAGAATTTACCATATAACCTTTGTGATGTTGCCTCAAGCTTTCTTAGAAAGGAAGCCTATTTGGGGCACATTCCAAAAGAGCTGTTGGATTCAATTTGATTACAGTGTCAGAGTATCAGAATGGTTCAATCTCCAAAGCATTCCTGGAGTAAGAAATTGGGGGTGGAAGTCAGAACTTGTAAGGTGTGCCCATGAACACTAACAGCACAGTGAAAATACAAGCCTCAGAATGGAAGGAAATATTTGCAAATCATATCTAATAAGGCTCTAATATCCAGAATATACAAAGAACTCTTAGGAGAAAACAAACAACCCAATTAAAAAAATGGGAAAAGGACTTGAGTAGACATTTCTCCAAAGAAGATAAACAGGTGGCCAAAAAGCACGTGAAAAGATGCTTTACACCATTAGTCATTGAGAATATGTGGATCAAAACCATTTCAAACCCACTAGGATGGCTAATATAAAATAAAATAAACTGTAACAAGTGTTGGTGAGGATATGGAGAAGCTAGAACCCTCCCACACTGATGGTGGGAATGTAAAATAGTGCAGCCTCTGTGGAAAACCATTTGGTGGTTCCTTCAAAGTTTAAAACATAGAGTTACCACATGACCCTTTATATACCCAAAAGAATTGAAAACAAGTGTTGAAACCAAAAATTTATACACAAATATTAATGTAAGACTGCAGTCCCCAGCTCCCAGGCTGTGGGCCGGTACCAGTCCCTGGCCTGTTATAAACCAGGCTGCACAGGCCTCCACCTCTGCCTCCCCACCACACCAGTCCAGGGAAAAATTGTCTTCTGTAAAACGTAGCAACTGGGTCACACAGCAGGAAGTGAGCGGCAGGCAAGTGAGCAGAGTTTCATCTGTGTTTACAGCCACTCCCCATCACTCGCATCACTGCCTGAGCTCCACTCCCACCCCACCCCTGCCTCAGTCTTTGTAAAAATTGTCTTCCATGAAACTAGTCCCTGGTGCCAAAAAGGTTGGAGACTGGTGACCTAATAGAAGCACTGTCACAATAGCCAAAGCAGAAACAACCAAAGTGTCCTCAATTGATGAATGGATAAACAAAATGTAGTTTATCCATGCTCTGGAATATTATTCAGCCATAAAAAGGAACAATATACTGATACATGCTGCAACACAAATGAACCTTGAAAACATTATCTTAAGCAAAAGTAGCCAGACACAAAAGACTACATATTGTATGATGCATTTATATGAAATATCCAGAATAAGACAATCAATAGAGACAGAAAACAGATTCGTGGTTTCCAAGGGCTTAGGGCAGGGGTCCTCAAACTTTTTAAACAGGGGGCCAGTTCACTGTCCTTCAGACCATTGGAGGGCCGTTGGAGAGTGCAGCGCACATTCCAGTCATGTGCACTTTGGGTCTGGGACTAGTCGGCTGCTAAGCAGGACAGGCAGTGATGACAAAAACACCTGGCGGGCCGGATAAATGTCCTCGGCGGGCCGTAGTTTGAGGATGCCTGGCTTAGGGTAAAGAGGAATGGGGAATGACTGATTAATAAGCATGGAGTCTCCATGTGGCATGATAAAAATTTCTAGAACTATAATAACCAAAACAGCATTGTATTGGCACAAAATAGAGACATAGACCAATGAAACAGAACAGAAAACTCAGACATAAAACCATCCACATACAGCCAAGTGATCTTTGACAAAACAGACAACAATATACACCGGGGAAAAGAATCCCTATTCAGTAAATGGTGCTGGGACAACTGGATAGCCACAGGCAGAAGAATGAAACAGGATCTGTATCTCTCACCACTCACAAATTTATTCAAAATGGATAAAAGACTTAAATGTAAGGCATGAAACCATAAGAATTCTAGAAGTTGATGTTGGAAAAACACTTCTAGATGTTGGCCTAGGCAAAGAATTTATGAAGAAGATCTCAATGACAATCACAGAAACAACAAAAATAAATAAATGGACCTGATTAGATTAAAAAGCTTCTGCACAGCTAAGCAAATAATCAATAGAGCAAACAGACAACCTACAGAATGGGAGGAAATATTTGCAAGCTATATATCCAGTGAAGGGCTATTAATAATAACCAGAATCTACAAATAGCAAGAAAACAACTCCATTAAAAAGTGGGCAAAAGGACATGAACAGAAGCTTTTCAAAAGAAGATAGACTAATGGGCAACAAACAGGACAAAATGCTCAACGTCACTAACCATCAGGGAAATGCAAAGTAAAACCTCAATAAAATATCACCTTACCCCTGTTAGAATAGCTTTTATTAAAAAGTCCAAGACAATAGATACTGGTATAGATGCAGAGAGAAAAGGAACACTTTTATGCTGTTGGTGGGACTGCAAATTAGTACAATGTCTATGGAAAACAGTACAGAGATTCCTCAAAGAACTAAAAGTAGATCTACCATTCGACCCAGAAATCCCACTACTAGGAAAAGGAGTCATTTTATCAAAAAGACACCTGTACCTGAATGTTTATTGCAGCACAGTTCACAATTGCAAGGATATTGAATCAACCCAAATGCCCGTAGTTCGTAAATGGATTAACAAAATGTGGTGTATATATACCATGAAGTACTACTCAGTCATGAAGGATGACTTGGTGCCTTTTTCAACAATAGGGGTGGAACTGGAAACCATTCTCCTAAGTGACATATCTCAAGAATGGAAAAGAAACACCACATGTACTCACTATTAAATTGGAACTAACTGACGAGCACGATGTGTATAGAGGGAAGTATAACTCAGTGGAAATCAAATGAGGGGAGAGAGAAAGGGGATAGGTAAAACCTACCTAATGGATACAGTAAACACTATCTGGGTGACAGGCACACTTATAACCCTAACTCAAGCATTACAAACGCCGATCTGTGTAACCAAAAACATTCATATCCCGATAAGACTTTGAAATATATTTTTTAAACATTTTAGAGCTAAATAGTGGTGATGACGTTGTGAACGTACTTAACACCAGTAAATTGTATGCTTTGAAATGGGTAAAATGGTAGATGTCATGTGTATTTTACCACAATAAAAAAAAGTTCCCAAACTATATTAACCTCATAGAAACCCTGGTAATGAAATAATTTGGACAAATAAACTCAGGATTCCTAAGGGAACGGATATATTTCAAGCACAGCCTTTGTTATTGGGGAAAAAAAATGTACATGACTGAGCATCGGGCATGCTGTGTTCCGGGTCCAGGCTCCACTGTTACGTGGTCTTGGTCAAGTCATGTAAACTTTCTGGGCCTGTAGTGGGAGAGGGAGATGTGGGTAAATCCCCTAATTCTGGGTAGGAGAAGGTCCCAATCACCTTTTCAAGCTTCACCTGTCTTCCTTCTCTCTGGGCCCTTACCCAGTGTGAAGAGTAGTGTTTCTACACCCAGGAAGAGGACATGGGGTGGCACATGCAGGGGGATGGGGGTTGCGGTGGTTTGCTCTTTGGTGGAGCCTTTGCAACAAGTAAAAGTCCCAGAGCTGATTGTGACAGGCCTCGGTTTCATCAGAAGAACTGCAGGAAGTCAATTCATTGGTCTGCATACTCCAACCACTGGCAAATATTTATTGCACACACTCCACAGTGTGAAGCGCAGTGCCGTAGGTAGGACGGAAAGCTCCTGAATTTATGGAGTGCGTGTTCCAGAGGGAGGGCATGGTACTGGCGAGCTCATCCATCGCTGATGTGCGGTTGTGACGAGGGCTGTGAAGAAGCAGGTGCTGTTGTGGGGCGTGCTCCCCAGTCAGGGATGGCCGCCCTGAGGGAGCCGGGGTGGACCTGCTGCCTGGAGGGGGACTTGGGATTAACTAGGAGAAAGGGGAGAGCTGCAGACAGCATTCCTGGTGGAGAGAGAACAGTGAGGAAGAAAGGAAAGTGGGCTTTGGGAAGAGATTGTGAAGAAAGCCTCATTTCTAGCATGTCACACCGAGTGCGGTGAACATCCTTGCATTATGGGAGCAAGAGAAGTGATCTCCCTAAGGCCACAGATAGGCACTTCCCCCAGCATACGCTGCGCCTGTCCCCACAAAGCCACGTCCTGTGCTCCAGACTATGTAACTAGAGGCATCTTTGGAACTTAAAATGTTCCCCAGAGTCAGCTGTGACCTGAGACACCACACCCCAGAGCCTGTTCATATCTCCACAGCACAGGGCAGTGTGAGTGACAGAACAAGTGGCCCTGGAGTGTGACACCCAGTGTGCCATGCCAGCAGCCAGAGGATGTTGCTGCTTTTGGTTTTTCAGTTTTCAGCCCATCAAGTCAGTATCTCTATCTAGGCTTTGAGGACTGTAACTACCAGACTTTTACTTAAGCTGTAGCAGCCATTGTACCCGGCAGCCATTGTACCACGGCCCATACGAGGTGGATAAACTGGATCCACTTTTATTGCCAAGGCCGTGGTGTCCACACTTGGATGGAGCCTCAGGTGTATGAAGCTCACACCTGCAGCTTGTGTTCCATGCTCCTAGGAGTCTGCCCTGCTTAAAGGCACCGTGGTTGGAGACCCAGAGCTGAGCCTCTGGGGTGGGTGTGTTGGCACTCCAGGCTGGGGAAGGGTGACAGGCAGTAGCCACAATGGGAGCAAACCATTAAGGAAAGGATTTGGTCAGCAAATCCCAATTTAGATATTCCCTCTGTCCAAAACTCTATTAAAGTCTTTTCCCCACTAATTTGGAAGCTTGCATGTCATCTGTTTGTGACCACGAATCTATTCCCTCTGGCTTCATTTTCTCTTTTTTTCCTTTGCTTTCAGGAGAATAGATCTGGAGAAAGCAACAGCTGTGTTGAAGAAATAATTCGGGTAAGATTATTCTTTGAATCTTATCAGCTTGTTGGGCATAGATTCCAAATAGAAAGGAAACGTGTGGTTAACTGATCAAAGGGAGCCCATCATTTGTTGTCTGACATTTACCTTTTTTGAGGGTAGGTTGATGAAATGGCACTTGTGAATAACACCTGTTCTAGAAGTCTAGGAGCCACACCCCCCGTCTGGGTGCCTTTGCACAGGCTGAGGTGATGCTGTATTAAGGGATCCGCTGGACACCAGAAGAACGGAATTAAGGTTAAAAAATATGGCAGTGCTCACGTTTGGATGCCCTGTTTAGTACCCTGCGGTCTAAGAGCATCCATGAAGGGTCTGTACTTTTTGAGTCAGGCAGGGGTTGCCCTGTTGTTTTTCTTCTAAACTTAATTAGAATCAGGAGCACCTGACAGGCAATGCTCAGAGTCTGAAAATTTATTTCTATGCCATTTTACTTGTTTTTATTTTCCACATTGCTCCCTGGGCGCCTGTCCTTTTCATCCCTGCCACGTCCAGCATGGACCCCTCCATGGACCAGTTTCACCTGCAGCCTGACTTCGCTTGGGCTGTTCGCCATGTCAGTGTTGTTCTGAGTAGGGTGTTATCATCAACCTATACTTTTTCTTCACTCATATTTTTTTCAGAAGAATAACCTAATAATTTACTCAAGTTCTCAAAAAGCTGATATTACCCTGGGCAAAGCACCAAGAAAAATTAGGCCAGATGATATGGAATTTCACTGTTAAAAAAAAAACAAAAAAACTTTTATTTTAATATGGTCCTAACTTTTGCACACTTTTTCTGGAATTGCTGGTGAATTCTAGCAATATAATTACTTGGTTTAAAATTTTACCTTAACTATTTTCAAAAGCAAGATTTTTTTTTCTTTCTGGAAGGTAGTATTTTGTATAACTCTCAAATTGACCAGAATAAGTCATTGAAGTTTGACTTGCTGAATTCATAATGATTTTTTTTTCTGGCAGAGATTTACATAGAAAATAATTGTCAAAGCAGGTAGCTTCATTTCTGGTATTTAAATATATGTTGAGTAAGATACCTATTGTATTTTATATCTATATTATCTTTGTTCTAGGGGTTTGTTTCAGCTTAAAGAACAAGTAGTATAAGATGTTGCTATAACTTTTCCTATTTTTCTCTGTCAACATATTTTTTATGTTTGGAGTCCAAATATCCCATTTTAACTCATCTCCCTTAATTGATTATGGTGGTTAAAACCACAGAATGGTAATGCCAGAGCAACACCAGTCCCCTCTTGGGCTTCCCTGATTAGAAAAATTCTACCCCTCTTATCCTCTCTTGGCTTTCCTGAGGATATGGGAGAATTCTGTCCTGTGCCCTTCCCTTTCTGTTCTCCAAGCAGGGCTTGAAGTTTGAATAATTCACACACCCAAAGGATATAGTTTAGGTAAAGTAAAATTCAATTAGAGTAAGACTGATTGCTGCAGTCAAGAGTTGTTAAATCTTTAGAATGGTTGTTTTTTGAAGAGAGCTGATAAGAGCCTCAGAGCCCCCCACCCACCCTACCTTCCCAAGATACTGACTTGTGACACCACCCACCACTGATGCTACTCAGCTGTGACACTCCTCCCATCAGGTGTGGAACAAAGGGCCAGGGCATTGGTTTGTATCCGTAGGCAGTCTGAACTTCCCATGCGTGTGCCCAGGGGCAGTGGAGAGCGTGGCTGGGTTAGGAGGCCGCTGAGCTCCCTGTGTTCCACTCTTCCTAGAACCAATGAGTGCTCCAGGATGGGAGGCAGGCAGTACAGACTTGGGGGAAACGTTGGTGATGGTGGTGCCTGTGGCACCCATTTGAGCCTTTTACTCCCTCCTGCCACCCGTCAGCCTAAGGTGTTAGTGGTAGTAGTTGGTATTTGGAGAGGTCCTCCTAGAGCACGGCGTCAGTGTTCCCAGTTTTTCCTGGAAGGTTTTTCTGGCTGTGTCCTGCCTCAGTCACATCAGCCATTCTCCAAGACCACATCCTCCTATTACCCTAAGCATGCTCTCTCCTCCAAACACAAGTACGGGGCTCCTTCTCATTTATAGCAGATAGTATTTTTTGTGTATCTGTCACACACCAGCATTCCTCCCAGACTGTGGCCGCAATGTCTGGAATTTAGAGTTCACAGTTTTGTTAAATGAGTAAGTCGGGGAAGGAGGGAGGGAGGGAAGAACAGGATCTCCCAAAGGAAAATGATGAATATCATTGCAGTGGCTCACAAACAGATTCCATTTGCTGTAAATCACAGACATGATGTATTGGTCTTTTTATGCCAGGTTTCCAGGGACCGTCTTTGCAGAGCCCAGTTTTCCTTATCCATTTCTCTGCCCTTGTGACCAGGCCGGGTGAATCCAATGTGGTCACGGTCACCAGGGTACGTTAGTTGCAGCCTTCGTTTTTAGGTGATGGCTCTCTGTTATGGAGGAAGAGGAGCGTCATGAAAAATGACCACAGAAATGAAGATGTGATGTTAACTGTGCTAAATACTAGGGTTTTGGGGAATCTTGCTATAGGGTAAATGACCTAATTTTGGATCAGGAAAGCCTTTCCTGAGGAAGTAACATTTGAACTGGGAGTTGGAGGATGAATAGGAAATCATCCTAAAGAGAGGGATGGTGAGGGTTCCAAGCAGAGGAAATGGAAGAGGATGGCTTGTTAGAGTCCTGGAAAGGATGAGGAAGGCCACGGTGGCTAGAGAGTGGGCAGCAGGAGCCAGGCAGGAGAGGCAGATGGAGCAAGATCACACTGTGCCTTCTCAGCCACCTTCAAGATCCCATCAGGCAGGAAGCCAGAAGCATTTGAGCAGAGAGTGGTGTGATCAGATTGGCAGTTTAAATGCACCACTCTGGCTGCTATGGGGAATGGATCAAGGGAGAAGAGGAGGAAAAGCAAGAGAGGGTGGGAGTCTATTGCAGGAGTCCACATGAAAGATTCTTGGTGGTGCTCTCAGTGCCTTGGGAAGTGTCAGGGGAGACCCTGGTTTTAGAGGGAGGGGGAAATCATAAATTCATTTTTGTACATGCTGAGTTTGAAGTACCTTTGAGACATTCACGTAAACATGGAGAACACAGAATAACAAATGCGGGTCTGGAGGTCAGAGCAGAGGTCTGAGCTTCAGGTCAACATTTGGATTAATTAGCTTGTCATTGCTAATAAAGCCATAGAAATGAGTAAATTTCCCTGGACAGAGACTAGAGACTGAGAAACAATGAGAGCCTAAATTCTGACATTTTGAGACCAAAGGAAGGAAGATCCACTGGCAAACAGGAGGGAGAGGGAGTGACCAGAAAAGCTGAGGAACAATGATGATGATGGTGAGAAGTCACAGAATCCAAGGAGAGAGTTTCAAGCTCAGTAGTGTTTTGAGTTTCTGAGAGGACAAGAAAGATGAGGATCTAAACCCACCCAATGGATTAGGCAACAGAAACATCACGGATGACCTTTCTGAGTGCTGTTTCTGTGGAGTGAGGGGCAGAGTCCATACTAGAGAAAACAGAAAATGCAGTCAGAGCATTTAGAGACCTCCAGTGAGGAAGGGCCATGGTTTTTAGTCAGCTCCCTTCTCAATTGCAGTATATCCCCTGTACAATAGCAATGACCAAATCATGAAGCGCTGACATTTATTGAACGCTCATTACGTACGTACAGGGGCACGCTTCTAAGTTCCTTGCACGTGTTAACCCATATAACCCTGGCGGCTGCCTCAGGAGGTAGGCACTGTTAACATCCCCATTTTACAGATGAGAACACTGAAGCGAAGAGAAATTAAACACAACTTGCCGGAGGTTACACACAGCTAGAGTGGTAGAGCTGGGATTTTAACAAAGACATCTCGCACCAGCAGCCTCTCTCTCAACTACTGAGCTGTCTTACTAAATGGAGAAGTCCCCCCGGCTCCTTAATGAAACCACTCAGGCATTTTGCTGTGAACGCAAGGTTTCCTGTTTCCACGCGTTAACGATTTGGAAGTGCCAGATCGTGCATTTAGGCACTTAAAACTCGCAGAGGTTTTATGGCCAGTGTTACCAACCTCATCTTTAACTTCTTCCTCCTGCTTTTGCTGAGGTGACTGTTTTCCAGTCATCTGGATATTGCGTTGTGTTCTAAAGCATAATTATTTTTTATTCTTACTCAGAGAGTTTTGATCCTGGGAACTAATAAATCTCTGTGTTATTGCAAAATTCTCTTAACCGAGGGAGAAATTACAAGTGAGTTCTGTGAAGATGGGCGATAAGGGCTGGAAGCCCTCATGGCTGACATATGTTTGTAACAGGCAGTTTTCTAAGTTACACTGTATCTCATCCTTAAAGGTTCCAGTGCTTAATACTTAGGTGCTTTTCCTAACATTAACCATTAACGTAGAACGGCATTAACATTTGTTCAGCAAATAAAATTCGTTTACAACTTAATGGGTGCAGGGCTAGACTCAAGGATACACAAGCTTTATGCAAGAGGGATTTAGACGGCATTTGTCGAGGGCACTGCTCCGTAACACAGAGAACGCCTTTGTAATAAGAGACAGGCGTTTGGGATTCTGGTTTGGATTTAAGGAATGAATTTAGAGACAATTTCAGTGCGACATCTGAGTGGATTACCTTCTTGGCTTTCATCGTTAGTCACTAATTTAATTCCAATGTGCTATGAAATATTCATAAAGAATATTTACATGGAGTTGCGTTTCTGTTTATATGAAGCGAGTAAGTGGTACTTGTTTGAATTTCGGAGACCCAAACAAGTTCCCTCACATTATAAATGAACAGACTTCAGGCAAAAAAAAAAGTAAACTTTTTCCCCTGGTTTTCCAGCAGCTAAGGGGTGTTGTGGATAAGATGATTTCCAGTTGTGGTCCTGGGGAGGTTTGTGAGTTGAGCGCGCTGGCATGTGAAATGCTCATCACGACGGTGCCTCCCAAGTGCAGACCCCGGATGGTGGGACAAGAGAAGCTTTGTGTTGTGAAGTCTGCGTGCTCCTCAACCCAAAT